TTTTCAATCACAATTTTTTTTAACACTAAAAAAAAATTACACATAGATCCAAAAAATATTCATAGATATCCTCAAAAAAATTACTTTAAATTACAAAATTTATTCTCACAAAATAAAATCGCTTGTAATAATAATTAACAAATTTATTTACCAACAGATAGGCATGTGAATTGTTCGGGTTGTGTTGATTTTGAGCTCAACTCGAACAGAAACACATTTAGTCGGTTTGGATAAATTTCATTCCAAACCGACACAATCTAGTTGTTGAAACCGAACCGAACCAAACCAAACAAAACCAAATCGGTTTAGGTCAACTTGGTTTGATTAATCAGTTTCAACATTTGTCTGGGTTAAAATACTTTGACCACCTATAAAAAATTGTTTGCCTATAAATAATTTTTTTTTTTGCTTGTAGTACGCATTTATAATAATGTAAATGATAAATGGTTGATTTTTCTAAAATAATCCCATATAACTGATAACTACCAATAAACAATTATATCAAAATGAAAAGCAATGTTACAATACAAATTTGGAGTTTACAATAAATAGTTCATTTCATTGCTTTCATTTCTTTTGAAATTTTTAGTTTTAGTAGAAATGTGTAGACGATAAACAAATCTTTTGAGAAAGAATTATATTTATGTTTTTTTATTATTTTATATTTTTAACTTTAAAAATATGAATTTTGAAATGAAAAAAAAAAATGTATTAGTAGGTTTGATCGGTTAATTAACGGATTGGTTGCTTAAACAGCAACCAACCCAATCCGACTTTTTAATGATTAAAATTAACTGAACCAAACAAATTGTTTGGTTCGAACCGACACTATTTGGTTTGGTCTGGCGTTTGATCGATTTTTTTGCCCATCCCTACCAACGGATGATGCAGGGATATTTAATTAGGTCAAAATCTCACGATCTAAATAAAAGGAAAAACTTCCTCACTTTCTTTTTAACATCTCATCAATTTATATAAATTTTTTTTATGTAAATAGTGATGTAAAATAAGTATTTTTCAAATAAATTTGGGCTCAAATGAGGCTTAATTCCAATCCAAGCCTTAAAGCATCTCAAAGATACTCATGCTCTATATTTTAAAGGAACAACTATTAAAATTATGCTCCAAAAGATTCTTTAAACAAATATTTTAATTTAGAGAGTGAATTTACTTATCCAAATTTGGAGAGCCAAACTCACTCTCTATAATTAATAATTCAAAATATTTCAATTTTCAATAGATAAAAATAATATAATAATTTGGAGGAAAGTTAGTGAAAATAAAAAATATGAAAAAAATAATAAATATTTTTTGGGAGCAGTAAAATTAATTGTGAAATATAAAGAGTATGATGAAGTATTTAAAAAAAAATTACACTCTAGATTTATAAATACACCGTGACTTGTAGAATATACTCTTTAAAAATATAAAGTCTCTTAGAGATACTCTTGACCGTAACAACATTTATGGCGGGTTCAGGGTTTAGAATTGATCAAACCTAATCTACTTTCTCATCAAAGGGTTAATTACTTGAATGATTACTGAACTTTGCCAAGTGTCATTACTTAATAGTTGAATTTAAAAATATATTTCAATAGTCACTGAATTTCGCCAAATGTTACTATTTTATAATTGAACATAAAAATGTATCACAATAGTCACTAAACTATGTACTCTATTACCAGTTCATTACTCAAGTGGGAAGATCAATTAGGTTCAACAAACAGCGTCAACTTGAGTGATGGATGGGTGATATGGTGCATAGTTCAATGGCCATTGCGATACATTTTTAAGTTCACTTATTAAATAATAGCATGACATGGTTTAGTGACCATTGATATATATTTTTAAGTTCAGTTATTCAGTAGTAACATCGACATAGTTCAATGACCATTAAGATATATTTTTAAATTCAATTATTAAGTCCTTCAAATCAACCTATATGTAGGGATGTTAAATGGGTTGAGCAGAAGCACGAGCCGAGCGTGGGCACTCAACAAGCTTGCCCACAAGCAAGCTCGGTGAACCACGAGCCTGAGCTTGTGGCCCGCATGCTATAGTGACCAAAACGATCACTTTTTAAAATCAAGTGACCGTTTTGGTCACTAGACTATTATTTGTGGCCGGTAGGCCCTTTTTAATTTTTTTTTTTTTACCTCTATAAATACCCTATCACCACACAACAATAATTCTTACTCTCTTTAACATTTTACTATCTACATTCTACTGCCTTCAATTTCAATATTCATTATATTCTTACATCTTACTCTCTTCACATACTCATATTTACTTACTTTACTATAAATCTATAATACACATTACACAATACCTATTTTATTATCTATACCTATATTTTATACACATTGCCATTACAATTTACATTTCTGCAAATTGCAATTATCAAATTCCTAAATATTCATTCGTCATTTCATCTTCATTTAAGTTCATATATTATCAACTCATCATGAATGGATCCACAACCATTTGTTGAGGGTTTGTTCGATATCGGTGGCGAATTACATGTGATGCCACAAAGTCAATTTCACAATGAATTTATCGATCTCAACAACGTACCCATTCTCGAATATATTCCAGATTTGGATGCTCACTGAAGTAGTTATCCAATTGATTTGAATGGCATTGATGCCCCCAAAACGGAATAAGAGGAATTAGATATTCCTGATGCAAGATAGAAGCGAAAGGAGAAAAATAAGCAAAATGTAGGGATCACTTTAAATTGATTCCAAAAGGTCGTACGATCAATGGAGTCGTAGAGTCTAAAGCAATATTTAAACACTGTCAAATACATTAGCATGGCTAAAGGGCATTGATACTACCAACCTCAACCATCACTACAAAGCACGTACGATCAAACATGGGCTTGTTGGTGCCTCTCAAATGTAACTGCAATTTATAATTAATCATATTTCAAAAGTTTTAACTTTTAACATACTTATCACTTATAGAAATTTAAAACAAATTTTATTTGAAATGTATGAATTATATGCACAACGAATGAACGTAAATATTAGTCGGACACCCTCTATATCTATCTTCTCGCTAATATTGAAGAAGACGAAACTGAAATATTAAATTTATTTGAAGGCATTAATATTTATATATATAATGCAATAGGTTCTTCTAGTAATAGTATACCTACCGCATGTAATTAGACATCAGACGAAGTCCAAATACAATGCCTGTTGAATTACTTGATTACTTTAATCATCATATGTCTAGTAATGCATCAATTTAAAATAAAAAGTTCAGAAAAAATAATTGATTTATGGCGAAAGTATGAACAACGATGGCCAATAGTTTATACAATTGGAAAAGTCCTACTAACACCTCTGTTTAGCATTTTTAGCTTCGAAGTCTATTTTTAGTGCAAGTATGAGTGTTCTATGAGAGATTAGGTATCTACTCAAAGAAGATATTTTGGAAGCATTAATGTGCGTGAAGAATTTGTAAGACGATCATTTTCGACTGCAAGATAAATATGTCAAAATTGTATACCGTCAGATAAATGATATTTAATTTAATCATATTAATAAAATATGTTATTTTATAATACTATTTTAATTTTGTTAGCAATTATACACGCAACAAGTTATTCGTGTACAATTTTTAACCCCGCCTCCCGATATTTAAGTAATCGGTTCCAAACTCAAATAAAGGATGAGAGTTTTATCTGAAAAAAATTGGGAGCTACGGGCCAAAGCTTGGCTCGGCACATGAGCTTGGCGCAATGCCACTGGCACTGCTACCTATATGAAAAAATTCAAATAAAATGAAGGGAAAAAGAAGAAACAGAAAACTAGGCACCTGCAAATCGAAGAAAAATAGAACTTTTGTTGTCGTTCATTCTGAAATAAATTGATGACATTACTATTAGTCTTCGTCTGAAAGTTTTGTTGTCTAAAAGAAAGATATACATTGCTAAATTGGCTCTCAATGATTTGCGAAGTCATTAAATCCCCGATTAGAATATCTCCTTCATCGGCAACTACAGTATCATTCATTTGAATTACTGGATTGTTCAGTTTATTGTTATTTTTTGTTGCTGTTTTCGTCTTTTGATTGTTGTGATTCTCTTGCTTCTTTTTGTCTACGGTGAAAATTACGTTTGATTTTTGGATTAATTTATATCAGCTCACCGTATCTTGAATTTCGTAGAAACAGATTGAAAGAGAGACAGTAGGAACACACAAAAAAAAAAAAAAAAAAATGACAGAGAAAACTTAAAATAAAAGTACAAAAACGTTCGAATAGTACAAAGGTGATTGAGGTCAATTTGATTTTTCATCTTTTTTCCCTTCATTTTTTAGTTTCTTCTTTTACTAAGGTCGATTTGAGTGAAAAAGAAATTGTTATTACTCAATAACTTAACTTAAAAATGTAACTAGATGGTCATAAACTTTTCCAAATGTTACCACTCTATAACTGAATTTAAAAATATATTTCAATTGTCATTGAACTATGCACCTATTATCCATTCATCATTTAAGTTGACGCCATTTGTTGAATTTAACGAATTTTTTTATTTGAGTGATGAATAGGTAACATGATGCATAGTTCAGTGACCATCAAGATACATTTTTAAATTTAGTTATAAAGTAGTAATGCTCGACGAAGTAGTAATTGAGATACTGTTTTAAGTTTAATTATTAAGCTGCTGTTTGTTGTAAATTAAAATTAGATTTTTAGTAAATTTTGATAAAAATTAATGGAATGTGTAGTTGAAAAATTACGCATCCATGACATGTATGATTAAAATTAATTATTAAGTTTGATTTAATTTGTAACAGGAGTTAAGCAGAGTGATACCACAAATGTCACCAACATAATTAGCCCTCTCATCAAATATTCATCCTATTGGGTCGGTTAGATTCCACCCACATTAACTTTCGGAGAGCATCCAAGGCGCAGAGAGCCCCAAGAAGTTTGTACTCGTGTGGCAAAATTTTTCTACTCCGTCAATTTTTGAACTGAATTCATTCATGAACCGTTTTCTGAGACACTTCACTGTAAGTTTTTCATTTTCGAGTTTCATCAGATTTATATATCTAAATTCTTTACAACAAAGAAAAAGATTGAGTCGTGTTAATTTTTGAAGCTTGGAGCAACCAGGGGTTTTGCTGCGCAGAGCGGAAAGGAACCCCATGTGCAAAACCTGAAAATCGAAGGGGTTAACGATATCATAGCAGTTGCTTCTGGCAAAGGCGGCGTTGGAAAATCCACTACCGCTGGTATTTTGTAACTATTGATTCTTTGCTTATGGGGGGGGGGGGGGGGGGCGCTTTTGATGATTAATGCATATAGGTGAAAAGAGAATAGCAAGTGATTCTTGTTGGCTTCAGTTTATATTAGAAGTTGGGTTTGTGGCATATGTGTTAGTTTGACATTTACAATTGGATTTCTTAAATATGTTAATCTGTAGTGAATTTGGCGGTTTCACTTGCTAAGAAATGTCAACTTAAAATTGGGCTGCTGGATGCGGATGTATATGGACCGTCAATTCCTATAATGATGAAACTCCATGGAAAGCCCGAAGTGAGTGCAGGTGGTTGCTTAATTGTCTTGAAATCCCCGGTTTTCAATTTTAGACTCTTTGACTTTGTGTATCAGTCTTATAAAGCTATATGTGTTCAAAGAGGTAACAATGGAACTAAAACTCGAGAAACTTGTTGTACAATTACATCTCAAATAATATCCACAAGTATGTAGGAGTATTTTCTTGTAACTCAATATGCAGCAAACGAAGTCCATTGGTTTAGCTAATCCATTGGACCACGGTTTTAAATATTGTGAACTTTTCATTCGAAACATAATTTCTATCAATATTCCCATTTCAATTATCTGCTTATTTTACCTTTTCACTGAAAAAAGTGAGATTCCGTTTAATCTTTTTCTTCATGCATGCTAAATTATTCTGCAAGTGCTTATCTCAATGTGCAGTACGTGTGCCTCGTAAATTCTGTGATTTCACCAATTTATAAGATTCTAGGGTGATAAAATGTCAAGAAGCCGTTCCATAGCTTTCCTCTACGATCTGTATCTCTATGGTGTCCCTTCACGATATTTCTTGTTCTATGGTGTTACCTTGTCTGCCTTTGCCTAACAATCAGGTAGTTCTCAGTGACTTGCTTTAGGTATCTAGTTTTGGCTAGATCTTGCCCATTGATCAGAGCCTCATATATATCATTATTTCCAAATTTAAGTAGTCTCTTCTAAATTAGTTTGTGCTTGACTGGCTAAGCTTAGTCTATATCGGCTTTGAGTTAATGAGTCGGAAACCATTTCTTATCTATCATGCATTTTCAATGGTTATACCACTGTTTTTAAATTGATCTGAGCATTTCTCGTGGAACTTCTTAGCAGATAAGAAAATGATCCCAATTGAAAATTATGGAGTCAAGTGTATGTCAATGGGATCTCTTGTGGCAGAAAGTGAGGCACTTGTGTGGAGAGGTCCAATGGTAAGCCTAGTATTGTTTATTAATTTCTTATGCTTTGTCAGTTGTTTGCCTATCAAGAAGTACCTTTGGATCGAATTGAAAAAGGATTTATATATCCCAGCAAATTTCATTCTTGAGAATTAGGCATTTCTTCATTTTCCTTCGGCTGCATGGTATATCGCTTTACTTTGATTTATTTTTTACGTCAATGAAGTTTTAACTGTTTGCGTATAAGTGATATCTCAAACTCTAATGTTTGATTTTGGTTGGTCTAGGATGCTCATATGAAGGGACAATATTGTGCATTCAAAATATTATGTCCACTGGATTTGATATTCTCTTCTCCATTCAGGTTATGAAAGCACTTGAACAGATGACTAGGGGAGTTGATTGGGGAATCCTAGATATTCTTGTGGTTGATATGCCCCCAGGCACCGGTGATGCTCAGATATCTATTTCCCAGAGGTTGCAGTTATCAGGTATTAAGAACTTCTGGAAGTAGTTCAGAGGTTAGAGGGAATGATACAGGCATTCTATGGCCTAGACATTCAAATTAGCGTATGCATGTTCACCTGGTCACAAACTATATGATATGAATGGAAATCCATCCTTCTGTGTTTGGGTATTTTCAATCAATGATTTCACCTAGTTTTCAATGTACTTTTTGAAGAGAAAATGAACTTGTGAATTGTTTAACAGTCCTTATTTGGTAAATAGGAGTTTAAGGATTTGTTTTCTTCCACTATCACTTCGTTGATTGGATACAAATGCAGCTTGGAAGGCAGTAAAAAAATGTAGTTTACTAGTAGGTTAGTAACTGTTTTAAGTCTCAGCAGTTATTTACATCCTCATCGAATGATTAAATATAGTGTACTAGTAACTGTTTTTAAGTCACAGCAGTTATTGACATCCTCATCTCTGCTGCCTTGGATTTTGGCCTTTCAAATATTATTATTTCACTTCCATAGACAGCAAATAAAGTGATTTTTATAGTTTTATGTAGTTGTTGCTTTATAACCCATAAATAAGACTACTTTTGGGCTGGCAACAGGAGCACTAATTGTTTCCACTCCTCAAGATGTTGCATTAATGGATGCTAGAAGAGGTGTTAAAATGTTCACCAAAGTCAATGTGCCGGTATGATCAGTTCTTGAGCTATATCTTGATACTTTGTGCTGGAGCATCCACATTTTGTACATCATTATCATTGAATTGAGACCAGAAGAGACAGTCCATTTATTTTTCGATGATGGAGAGACTTGGAATCCTTTTATCCTTATCCTAATAAATTGTGGCAAAAAAAAAAAAGAGTGCTCTGTAATTGTAGTCAACTGACGTGGTTTGGATCATGCGAGAGGTGAAATCCAACTTCAGAGGGGTAAAATCTGATTAGAGAACACATCTCTACTTTTTACAGTTGGCATTCTAAAAAAACTGGAAAGAAAAGAATAGATTATGTATCTCAACCATTGTTCTGTATGTGGGTGTGTATATATTTCTTTTTCCAGTTCTATTGTTTTGTTCTCAGCTCGTTGGTACTATTTCTCCCTCCTTCGCCCAGTTATTTTATTTTATTTTTATACTTGTGTGGTGTGCATTCCATGTTCTTAGCTCATGCTCAAGTTACATGCTTCTTCTGCTCGACAAACTACATTGTGTTGATTTATATTACAATCAATGTTGTAATATAACAGATGTGAAAACATTAATTTTAATAGATGGAAGTTGCAGTATTCTGTGGCTTGCTTGGTTTACTGTCAATGTCTAGTTCAATCTTTATCTGTTATAATAGTCAATTGATAATTTTGAATTTTAATATTCGAAGTTGAAATCAATATTCTATTTGTCATAAAGCATCGATGCCAATTTGTCATACTTGCGAACTTTTTCCTCGTGTTTATATAATTTTTATAGATGTTATAATTCTTACAGATTTTAGGAATCATGGAGAACATGAGCTACTTTAAATGTCCAAACTGCTGTGAGCCTTACTATATTTTTGGCAAGGGTGGAGCTCAAAAGACGGCTGACGAAATGGGTATGAAGTTTCTTGGTGAGGTAAGATAGCAGATTTAGATTTTTTTGAAGGTGCTTGTTTGGTAGTGCTTATAAGTTGTGTGGATAAAAAAGTGTGTTTGACCAGCTTAAATTATAAGTTTAGCTTTACCAAACATGCTCTAAATTCTGATCTGTGGAATTTATTATCACAGATGCCTTTGGAGGTGGGGATCAGAAGCGGTTCTGATGAAGGTGTCCCTATCGTAATATCCAACCCCGATTCTTTTGTATCCCAAGCCTATGCTAAATTGGCCAAAAATGTTGTCAGCACTCTTGAAGATTTAGCTAAGAAGCAATACTTTCGACCGGAGATAACCCTATAGAGATGCAGCAAACTCTTCATGTTGCTTTGATTTCGGTAAAGTTGTGATGATATGCACTATTTGCATTCGAGCTGTATAAAAACATGAAACCTAACTATGGAATATGGCATTAGAAATATTGTGCGATCTAACTGCTGAATTTTATTGGCATTTGCAGGCTACAGCCAAGTCTAATTCACTGCATCGTGAGGCAACCAGCTTTGGTATGTTTACACTGGCGTATGGACTTGGCAAAGGTTTGTCGGGTAACCTTTACGGTGACAAACTTAGTGCATATTTGGCACAGTAGTGGACTAGATGGTATAATAAACAAATTTTAGCTTCTTTATTTCCTTTTAATGTTATATGATCCGATCATACCTAATAAACATGTTTATCGAGGCACGGCTGTGTTCGCCTGAGAACTGAATTATATGTGGGGCTGTCGTCGAGTTGAGAAATTACACTGGGGAACTGTGTGTTTTTGTAGAGTAGTTCAGTCGTGTAGGAACGCAAAAGTGAAACCCCAATAGTGTTTCAAATGTAACCTATTATGCACTATGCAATATAATGAAAGAGTTATGCTACATGTACACAGTTGGGTTACAAAGTTGGTTGACAAAATAACATCTATACTAATCATTTTAAAAACAGATTTTTCAGTCATTTGAAATCAACGGTCTGAATTTTGCACACACATTTTATAATCCAACTTTTGAAACTCAACTTTGTACAAATAACTTTATTGATAATGAAATAACATGCTGCACAATGTCAATTCAGTTACAAATTCTTTCCGTTTTGGGTTTTCATTTGCGGCCACTGTACTTTTAGGCTATTTTTAATTGAGTAATTATACTTAATTTGTTTTAATTAGGTCACTATAATATTGTCTCAATTTAAGTAACTTCGTTCAATTCCATCACATTTTTTACGAGGACATTGACGTGGATGTTGCATCCTAATGGGTTGTAAAAAACGATAAATTTCTGTTGATGAATAAAAAGGATGTGACAATTATAGATCAACTCAAGTGAAATTCAGTAAAGTAGTTGTACATAATTGTTGGAATATTGCAAAGAAAATAATTAATCTCATTTAGAAGTGTTTTGGATGGAACTTAGCTTGGCCATTTGTAGGGGAATCTTACATGCAGTGCATTAGCTCTCCTCCTTGTAGGAGATCATTTTCAAAGAGATTTGATTGGTAGTGTTTAGATAGAACGACTTAGCTTGGCTACTTGTAGGGGAATCTTACGCGGAGTGCTCTGTCCCCCTTGTAGGAGATCATTTTCAAAGAGATTTGATTGGTTATTGAGTTCGATCAAGTCATCATTTCTCCATTAGCTTAGGTTGTGATTATTTGCTGCCTAGATAATCATTGGTGGAAAGTGCATTAGCTCTCCTCCTTATAGGAGATCATTTTCGAAGAGATTGGATTGGTTATTGAGTTCGATCAATCAAGTCATCATTTCGCCAGTAACCTAGTTTGTGGAAAGTGTGATTATTTGTTGCCTAGACAATCATTGGTGGAAAGTGAAGCTATCTTCTTTTTATTGATTGCTGGAGAGGTGTTAAAATCGTTAAAGAACATTTTTTCAATTGTGTAATGATGATGCTTACTAATGATAACGTACTTGTGATGATACTCAATGGATAAGTTTTTTTAAAAATACAACTTGTACAGTCATTAGAGGTTACAGCCTTCTAATGACTGTAAGTGTAGCAATTTTCGAGTTTTTTTAGTCTGACGTGTTGCTATGATTTGGGGTTTTACTGTTAAGCCCATTTTGATCATTGGATCTGAGGTACTTGTGAGATCCAACCCCGATAAATTGAAAATTTTATTTTTACATGGATTGAAAATAAGACAAAGGAAAGTTTTAAATTGGATTACTTCTTTTATGTCATGTTCCCACGGTCACGAGTATGGGGCCTAAAACAGGAATTTGCCTTCAAATCTCACCCCTCTCTCCAATTGACGATTCGTTATTTACACATTTAGTATTACGACTGAAGAAAGTCAAAAAGAACTGAGAAAAAAAAAAGCTTATCATAATCGAATTGAGAACTGCTGCTGCAGCTTTATTCTTCGTTTCCTTCGTCCATTTCTCCCCTGATTTCTTCATTTTGTTTTTCCCAATCAGTACTTACAACATTAGTGTAATTAACAGCAATTCATTTTACAGTTTTTTTCCCAATTGAATTCTGGATGCAGAATCAGGCTGCAATTTCCCTTAAATCCTCTCTTGTTTCAATTACACCCAGAACCAATAATGGTTTATTATCTCCTTATCCACACACCCTCCTAAACCCTCGATTGAGAAGAAACAGTAATTATTCGGTTTTGAACTGCACCGGGATTGAAATTCCGGTACCCAAACAGCGCCTTAATCCCCTCAGCTTTTGCAATGGCTCTGTGGAAGACGAGAAATTGAAAGCCATCGGAGTTAAGGAAATCGATGTCGCAACTCTCGGAAACCTCTGCGTGGATATTGTACTTAATGTTCCTAAATTGCCCCCCAAGCCGCTTGACCAACGCCAAGCTTATATGGAAAAATTATCCAACTCGCCACCAGATAAGGTTTTACTGGATCTCCTCAATATAAATTTCGATATTTAATTGAAACTTTCTATCTCAGTTGTTTATATGTCCACACTATAATTGCTTTGTAATTCTTCTTTTATGTTTTCTTATTATCTTTTAAGTAGTGTATCTATATTATTTCTTAACGTGAGATGTAGTGGCGGTAGTCGTAGAGATTTCCCTATCATTATAGGCTTGCTTTGAGGTTGTACTTTTTTACTTTTTAAGTTCTACCTTTACACACTAGTCATGGCTTATAGGGCATATCCAAGATGAGGTCTCCTGGTGCTTTGCTCATGATATACTTTTAGTAGATGAGAAAGAATGTTAATATTAAGTTAAAACTTTGGATGATTAATGTGGAATCTAAGGGCCTGCTTGGGGGGTTTTTTTCACCAATTTTGACCGATTTGGGTGCCAATGTTTATGAGAGGGTGGAAATACCCGTGATTCTTGGGTTTTCGAGGCACTGGTTTTTGGTGTATCCATCAAATTTGTGAGTTTTGTGTGTTTTTCAAATTCTCTTCCAATTTCGCTCTTGAATAAAATAATTGTTTTCAACCCACATATTTTCTACAAAACTAACTTGTAAATAAAAATGCAACTACAAAATTAATTTATAACTAAAAAATTTACTTGTAAGTAAAATTTATAAGATAAAAATTTACTTTTGTGCAAAAAATTGCTTATAAAGTTAAAAAAAAAAAAAAAAATACTTATAACTGAAGAATTCACTTATGTGTAAAAATTATTTAAAAATTAAAAGTACAAAATTAGCTTATAATTGTAAAATTTACTTGTACAAAATTACTTGTAACTTAAAAATTCAATTATAAGTAAATATTTCACTTGAATTAAATGTGAAAAAATATGACTTATAAGTAAAAAATTACTTCTTAGTAAAAAATAATAATATAAGAAATTATAAATTGAAAATTTCATTAAGGGCATATATTTAATTTTATTCTTTTAAAAAACTTTTAGAATCACTGGATAATGAACTTCAAAACATGGATTTGACTGTTTTAAAAATCGGATTAAAAACCACCCAAAATGTGACCTCTTATAAACGTCCAAAATTAGTACTTCAAAAAATCCCATAACCGGTACCCCAAAACTCCCAAGCAGGCCCTAAAGATTTCTTGTTAAGTGAACCTGATACCGTATACATGTAATGCTCATTTAGTAGAAGTAGGAGTAAGGACAATATTGGAATTATTATAGAGGATCGTGTTCCAAAATGTAATTGTTAAGAAGTTACTAAGTTCGATTATTACATGAGGGATTGAAGAGAATGTCATGTATAGGATTATACCACTAGGATGAAATGAAGTAGCGTTGCACAAATTATATGTAATATTAAGATTCTATTAGGTTTAAAGGCAAGTTCTACAAAAATTAATTAGAGCATGTATGTTGTATGGTTATTTGTTCACGAGTGTTGAACTATTAAGGTCAAGATATCGATAAGATTAATGTAGCAGAAACAAGGACGTTAAGATAGACGTGCCAATCATATTAAAATGCATAAGATTAGGCCTATATTTGGCTCCCATTGTTTCAAAAATTTATTTTTTTAAAACTCATTTTCAACTACACATTCTCCTATAAAATAATTTTATACGTAAATCGAAAACATTTTCTTACTTTTTGACACATTCTCCAAAAAAGCAATATTCTAAGATGCATTTTGGCAAAACAATGGAGCTCAAACAAGGGCTAGAATGGAGAATATATGGCAATGAGTGGAGGTTGTGCTGATTGAGGATAAATAATTGGAACGTCAACTTAGGTGGATGGGATTTTCATTGTTTCATTTTTGAGAAAAATGAAACTCTTGATTCCTATTTTGGCAATCTCGGAATAATAGAATTTGGTAATTTGCAATTTTTTGAAAATCGTTATATTCTTTTCTTCATCTATTTCTTTAATGCATTCGTCTCCCCATGCATATATTGTGACCCCATTTGGTGTGGATTAAAATTTTGATCAAAATCTAATTCAAAGTTCACAATTAATTTTAACCACACATTTAATGAGACACACAACTTGTCAACCACATATTTTATCAACTTTTATTAAAATCTACTAAAATCTGATTTTTAGCTGCACCAAACGAGATGTATATCAAAAGTCTCTTATCACGATGAATTTAAATTGGTTTATTCTGCAACGGCAAATGCTAGTTACAATATGGGTTCCAACGAATATGTATCACTGTTTTTCTTCGAAGAGGTATAATAATTTACCAAAATCATCTACATAATGTGCATTTTTTCGCTCTTCTAGTACATTAATGATTAACTTGTTAATTAACTTGATACATGTTTAAGATATTATTTGAACTAAATGGTGCAAATAAATCCATTTATTTTTTTCAAATATAAATAAATAATATTAAGTTAAAACTTTGGATGAGTAATGTGGAATCTAAGGGCCTGCTTGGGGAGTTTTTTTCACCAATTTTGACCGATTTGGGTGCCAATGTTTATGAGAGGTTGGAAATACCCGTGATTCTTGGGTTTTTGAGGCACTGGTTTTTGGGGTTTTTTTAACAGAAAACTTCAACAGACAACACTTTGGGGTTTTTTTTTTTAATTAAGATCTTATGGACCAGTTTACTTATCCTGAATTAACTCTCTGATCATTGCATAACCCGTATGTGTATAGATGTTTAACTGTTTTGTGGGCAAACTAGTTGATTACTTCCAACTGGACTGGTATTGTAGATGGGTTACGAATTCTGGTTTGACCTGGCTGTTTGAGCCTGGGTCCAATAACAGTGACTGCAACAATAAAATACGCTTATTATTGACGGAATTATAAAATTTTATGCTTGTGGTAGAATAAAATCTTACAAACTATTACAAGAGAAGAGTAGTGGTTTTAACTTTGTTAACCCACAGTTGAGTAAATGAAAATTTGAATGAGATTTAATTAAAAATACAACAAGGCACAAATCTTAAGATGGGAGTATTGGTGGTAAAAAATAAAGATCTCTCTCACACAGCAAGCCCCCAGACCCCATGAACACCTCTTAAACTCACTAAGGACTCTCTTGCTTCTGGCATTTGGAATCACAAACAAAGTGGCCTTTGAAATACTATGCCAGGAATCGAATGAGAAGCCTAATGTTTGGGATGTGCATAAGTGAGGGTGGCTATTAGGGATGTCAATGGATTGAAATCCTATCTGAATTTGAAGAAATTAATGAGAGATGAATTTAGGGTATCGGTCCGATAACCCTATCAAGATTCGAATTCGATAATCGTTTAGTTACACGGACCAAATATGGATATAAGTCAATCCGATCCAATAACAACTCTATCCAATTTGTTATAATAACGTAATATATTTTATATATTATTGCATTATTTTTTTCATTTTGAAACTTGTATTATATTTTATGACTTTAAATGAAGAATATCAAACCTATCAAATTCCAATATAATATTAATATATATTATAATAATTTTTTTTATTGAGATTGAGAATCCCCTCTTTCCAATAAAAAAAGAATATGTGTAAAATATTTCGGATCAGATATCCGATCACATAGCAAATCGGATATGAACTTAACAATCAAATATGCGTTGGATTATCGGATCAGGTCGGATATGGGCAGATCCGGTTCATATCCTATCCATTTATTACCTTAGTGGCAATAGAATGAATATTTGTGGCCTTTAGCATTAGAAGAGTTGATGTCTGGTGTCTAATTTGGAAATGAGGGGTTGAAGATGAATCCATCTTGTCATGCTTTTTTTTTTTTTAAGATCATTTCTGCCCTACAAAGTATGCTCTTGTTACGAAATGGCTGATGTAATTGGTATGAAAGGGGTGAAATTTGGGGATTAATGGGAATTGGATGTTCTCAATAATATTGAGAATGGGCCTGGGAATTCTGATCCCATTCATATTCATCCCTCATGCCAAATGGCTCCTTATATTTTCTTTCTTTCATTGCTTTCACTTTCTCTTGATAGCCCACCTATTTTATACACTCACATTCAGAAGACATGGCTTAAAGGTAACAAATAAGAATCATTATTAATTTTTTGACATCTTTCTTTTATTTAAAAAAAAAATGGACATCCATTTAATTTCTAGGTGACTCAAGTCAACACATAATGTTTACCTTGGGAAATAACATGGTATTATCCGGTTAAGGCTAAAAAGATGTACTCGAAGAGTATTAGAATTAATTTATTGCTAATTTTTTGTGGAAACAAAATCGTATATATTAAAATTCACTTCTTCTTTTTTCTCTTTTTCATTTTTGGTCAATTTTTCTTCTCTAAGAAAATAAGACCTACGGATGGAGATTGCATGCTTTGTATTGTGGAATTTCTATTAAAAAATATGCACTTTTACGTGTAAAATTTAAGAAGTAGATTGATACTACTTTATTTTCTATTAATGGACTTCTGAATTAAAAAATTTTCCAATTTTTGTGATTTTGGTGTCTTCCATTCTTATTAGAGATCTTACGTATAAATAGGACTAGTCTTGTCAAATAATTCGAAGATTATTTGGTGATGTTGAAATTTCTCTCAAATTTTCTCGTTCTCCACTTCTCCTTCTCTCTCTGTATTGGTCTATCTATCTCACTCTCATCAAATAAATATATCGAAGGTAATCTATTCACTCATTATTTCTACTTAATATCTGCTGCTGTTGGGTTCCATAAGCTGTCCATCCTTTAGTTGTGATAAATTGAGGTAATTCCAATCTTCCCGTTTGGCAGCTTAATTCCTAAAATAAAGATTTTTTGTAGTCTCGATTTCATATTAGGACACTACGATGCAAGGCACTGCAAAATGTGAATGTCACATCAATTATGGAAACCTGATGTGGAATTACAGAAGATTAGGCTTTTGTAGCTCATAATCATGTGAATGTTTAGTAACCCATGAAGTAGGGGCCAACTAAACTGGATGCATGTGAAGCTGCAAATCTTGTATCTCAAAAAGAATTGGAAAAGGAAACAGAAAGAGAAGCCAATTTTTATTAATTAATTTATTTTTGTTTAAAGTTCTTAGAGTGAGAATCGAAAAGGAAATCGTCTACAGTGGATGCCAACTTAGACAATCAATGTCTTCTCCCACCCCGAAACCTTTAGAGTTTAGCATAAAAGAAAAACCATTAACATGGGTCTTATAGCTAAGTCAGACATGATTACATCTAAGTCATATGCTTAGAAAACGAATAATTATGACGACCGTTGCTTCAGCACTTTTACACTTAATTCACAATCGAATGTTCTGATGGTTTCTAAAGGTATGGGCATGGTAGGATCTTCAATCTGGTTTGTTTAATTGGTTCAATTTGTGAAGAGATCTGTAGATGTAAAGATGGAAGTATTGTGTAATTTGCTGTATTTTTGTTGTATTTGTGACATAGAGAACAAAAGTTAAATGAACTGAATGGAAAACAAATTGAACACCGATATGCCTCTACTTATCGTGTGTGCATCTGATATCAATGCTTTTAAAAAAAAACTGTGGGATTGGAGTCTTGATTAAATAGTTCTAATAGAAATACTGGGAAGCGGGTGGCAACTGCAATATGGCTATAGCTGCAGCTAGATTGGGACTTCGCTGTGTTACACTTGGGCATGTTGGTGATGAAATCTATGGCAACTTCCTCCTAGATGTACTTCGTGATGAGGGAATCAGCATGGTTGAAATGGATGAGCAGAATGATGTGGTTGATCATTCACGTGCAGCTTACAAGACACTTTTGTGCTGGGTTTTAGTGGATCCTCTGCAAAGACATGGCTTTTGCAGGTATAACATCTAGTTCAAGATTTTTTTATCTTTATAGTGCACTTTTGAAATTATTTTATTTATTCTAAAATGATAATGCACAAGTGAAATGCATAAATTTTCTTTTCAGTCGAGCAGATTTCAGCAAGGAGCCTGCATTTAACTGGTTGAGCAAACTGTCTAATGAAGTAAAGATGGCTATCAAACGCTCCAAGATCATATTCTGCAACGGTTATGGCTTTGATGAACTTTCTCCTGGTATACTTGTGTCTTCTCTAGAGTATGCTGTTGAAGTCGGCACCTCAATATTTTTTGACCCTGGGCCAAGGGGGAAGTCCCTCGTCTCAGGAACGCCTGAAGAGCAAATAGCACTGAACAAATTCTTGAAATTGAGTGACGTTCTTCTATTAACTTCCGAGGAGGTATAAATCAATGACTTGTGATTTGTATATTGTATTGTAATCTCAACTTGAGCATGGTGTGCCATTATTATCTTAATAATCATAATTTATATGTTGCTAGTATCTTGTATCATTTCTACCTGTGCCTGAGCTGTAAGATGACATGGCTTATTTTTATCTAGTTCTAGTGTTAGATCTTCTTGTGGCCTGTTTGTGGTGAGCTTTTTCAAGATGTTTATTTCTTAATATATTTTCCACTGCGTCTATCTGTTTTAACAGTTTAAGCTTCTCAGGAACAGGTGGTTTTCACCTGGCATTTATATCATGTCCAGCACCTCATCATATTATATGTTTTTAAGTTTCTGGATATTCTGTTTTAGAAGTTACAAAAAGATGTTACATAATCCTTATTATATTGCACTTTTTTCCCATCTTTCCTGCAAGTTTCCTTGGTGATAAGTGATAACTTGTGGCTCACTGTGGAACCCTTCCTCCCTCCATTACTGTGCAGCTATGTTCGTTTTCTCTATTATGTGACTCGTGATACTCTGTGTCAGGCTGAATCTTTGACTGGCATAGCAAACCCTATTATGGCTGGACAGGAGTTGCTCCAGAAAGGGGTTCGCACAAAGTGGGTGATTGTTAAAATGGGTCCAAAGGGATCAATTCTGATCACGGCTTCAAGTATATCTTGTGCCCCTGCATTCAAGGTATCAACTATTGTCCATTCTTGACGTGGTTTGGTTTATCATTTGTAAAAGTCTTTCTTTCTTCCGTTTTTCCGGTTTTTATTTTCCATTCTGGCAGGAATAATTTACTTTATCTTCAGGAATATGTAGCTTTTTAAAAAAATTCCCATGTTTCGAGGACAAGTGCAGTGTACCCATACACGAACTGTACCTTTGTAAGTCCAATATATGACTACCAGCATAATTATGATTTGAACAGGTGAATGTGATGGACACTGTCGGGTGTGGAGATAGTTTTGTGGCTGCAGTTGCATTTGGTTTTATACATAACCTGCCTTTGGTCAATACATTAACAATTGCAAATGCAGTTGGCGCTGCAACTGCTATGGGTTGTGGTGCTGGTAGGAACGTTGCCACTCTCAAACAGGTTGTCGAACTCATGACAGGATTAAACCTCAATGAAGATGATAAATTTTGGGACGAATTGCTAAATGGAGATTTTGGTGTACAAGAAATTACACTACTCACCAAAATGGTCATGAATGGAAGCAAAATTCAGCCCAACCATACTTCCTTGCCGAAGGTGGTTTCTGAACTGCTACCTATGCTTGAATGCACACCGAAAGAGCAGGCTTTCGCATGGTAAGTAAATAAATGTTGACATTCAGGTAAATCTGCCACCACCAGCCGAAGGAAGACAGAGAGATTAGCATATGTTTGATATATAGTATTAGGTCATACTCGACAGAATAATAGATAGTAGTTTGACTTTTTTTTATTTAATATTGTCGAGTATGTCTAATCTATCTTAACAAACATAGCAATCGTTTTTGCCTGACATTGAAGAAATTAGAAAGTTTTGGCTCACAGAGAGAAGTTAGAAAGATCATACTATTTTTATTCTTATTTGTTGAGAAGTTAGTTTCTTCTCTAAGCCAGGAAAACGCTATCTCGACGGGTTTTGTATAAGCAGCACATAGGATTTTTGCCCCACGATTTCTCCTATTACCTTAGTGCAACGTGATTGATTTTCATGTTGGATGGCAGTTCTTGATGCCTTGCACTGGTATTTTTAACATTTTGTTAAATGAAAGTTGATTTATTTTCCCTTTTTTTATATGATTGTTTACTAAGAGCCTGTTTGTCATCCATTTTTGTTGTTAACATGGTGTAATGAATAGTATTTTTTTGAGAATGTGTGGTTGAAATTTAAAGTTACTTTATTGGTTTATGTGTAGAATATTTTATTGGATAAATGTGTGGTGGAGAATCTTACTGTAGCAAACAATGTTTTGAAATAATGGATGACAAACAGGGGCTAAGTCCCTGCTTGGTAGAGATGCTTTGAGAATGGATTTTGTGAAAATTGTTTTTTTTTCAAAATTTTTTTTGAGAATGTGTGCTCCGAAAGGAGGATAGAGTTTTGGATTTATATGCAAAATTATATCGGGAGAACGTATATTTGAAAATGAGCTCTTGAGAATGGAGGCCGAAGAATATCTAACAATTTGGTATTCTTCAACTTGGAGAAATTTGGTATTTTTTTTCTTCAAATGCATGAATTGTTATGTTATATTCATTGAATTTCTACTTGAATGAATTGTGAAGATACAGGTTAAGTCCCAGGAAAGAAACATATAACCAATTTTATAGTCCCGTTTGGTAGGGGTTAAAATCAGATTTTGATATATATTGATAAAATACGTGNAGCGGGCGGGCCTGGGTTGTAGTCCAAAATTGTGGGCCGACCCGTAACCGGCCCGGAACCCGCAGCGGGCGGGCTTTTTTTCACGCGGGCCGTTACCGGGCTCACATGTTGGCGGGCCGACCCGGCCCGGACCACCCGGATTGACACCTCTAGTAGAGATGCTTTGAGAATGGATTTTGTGAAAATTGTTTTTTTTCAAAATTTTTTTTGAGAATGTGTGCTCCGAAAGGAGGATAGAGTTTTGGATTTATATGCAAAATTATTATATCGGGAGAACGTATATTTGAAAATGAGCTCTTGAAAATGGAGGCCGGAGAATATCTAACAATATTTGATATTCTTCAACTTGGAGAAATTTGGTATTTTATTTCTTCAAATGCATGAATTGTTATGTTATATTCATTGAATTTCTACTTGAATGAATTGTGAAGATACAGGTTAAGTCCCAGGAAAGAAACATATAACCAATTTTATAGTCCCGTTTGGTAGGGGTTAAAATCAGATTTTGATATATGTTGATAAAATACGTGGTTGAAAAGTTGTTTTCATAAAATATATGTTTAAAATGAATTGTTGAGTTTTACTTATATTAAAACTTAAATTTTAATCTCTAATAAATAGGGGTATATAAAATTGAACCGAAGTGGCTAGTTTAATTGATGCAAGTTAAAATATAAAAAATAGAATTCATTAAACAAATATTAGAATCGATGCCAATCAATGCAAATTATAGCAGCATGGACGCAATGGAGTAAGCCGAATCTCCCTAGCCGATGAAATGACACTCTCCCTCCCTCCGTCCATTCACCTAAGTATGTTGGGTTGGAATCAGTGTTTTAAAATTCTTGAAAATGCGGCGCCTAGGCGCAGCGCGCGACAAAAAAGCGTCGCTTTTGTGGTATGCGCGTAAAAATATGGTCAACAGTTTTTGTTGGCCTCCTAGGTGACTCAATGCGCGCTAATGCGTGCATAGGTGCGCATCAGGCAAGCCTATGCGCGCTTAGTCCCGCATTGAGTCGCCTACATTTTTTTTTCCCGGATATAATATAAAAAATTATTTTTTAATATAAAAATCTATTTATTATATTAAAATAATATTAAAAGTACGAAACGCGTTATGACGCATATTCTCCGCATTGACACATTTAAAATTGTGATTCTTGATTCTCGACCTCGACGTATCGCAACGCATTACGTATTTTAAAACACTGGTTAGAATACCTTCGTTCGGATCCCTCTTTGGGCCCAAGGCCTCGAGATATTCCCAATATAGAAGTGTATTAATGAATCAAGCGCGATACTCTTTCATTTTTTTCCATCTTTCATCTTTTATCTTAGGAGGGGTAGGAATTTCTAGAAGAGAATGAAAGGTAGACCATTTTGTCACAAGTGGAATTGGTTTTCAAAAGCCAAGCAAGGAACAACGAGAAAGTAATAACTAAACTACATTTGATTGCAGGTCCATAATTTATACTCATTATCACGTTTTATGTTCTTAAATTGTTTTCATCAATTTCTCAATCTCAAATTAACACAAGTCCTCCTAATGATAGTTTCTATCCAAAAATTTTGTTAAGATGAGGTACAAACGCTTATTAACTCATTTTTATATAAGAAAGAAAAAGTAAATTAAGACTAAATAATTGTTACTCATTTTAAAGTATAATAACGTTTGGACAAAAATCGTGATTATCGACAATATCATGAAAAAATATGATGAAAAAAGTGAAAGATAAATGTTAAGAACTTTTGATGTAATTAAAATATGATGCATTTATAGAAAGACGTGGTAGAATATAACCATCTTCAATTTTTTACTCTCGACCTTGGTTCTATATTAAGTCCCATTTTAGTAGGAATTAAAATTAAAATTTTAATTTAAGTCAAAATCAATAATTAATTTTAACCACATATTTCATAGGACTCGTAACTTTTCAATCATGCATTTTATCAACTTTTATCAAAATTCACTAAAAATTTGATTTCAATCCCCACTAAACCTAATTTGACTACCCGTAACCGTTTATGTTTTAGATTATTGTTTGGGTCAGTTTTTTAAACGATACATATAAATAAACTCGACACTCCACACTAACTATATTTATTTGACTATAATTATTTTCAAGTATAAATCAGACATGTCCTAATTGTCTACCACATCATTTTCATCGAGACATTAGTATTATGTATAATTGTAATGGAAGTTACAAACATTTTTAAAAATATGCAAATTACACCCAAACTTTTAAATCGTAGTAACGGAGGTCTCAAACCTTTCAAACTTGTGCAACAAAAGGATCTCTAGATGATTTCCACCCAAAAATTTGTCTGTTGACCAGAATTCATCTTCTCTGATTTACTCTACCACCCAACTGCAACCTACCCAATCATGCGAAAAACCTCTTCTACCTTGGCTGGTGAGCCTTACAAAAATCATCGCCGCCTGTGCTGCAATCACAGAGCATTAGCTACCGCCATCAATCCCATTTTCCCATCCCATCAACTTCATTTTCTCCCACCAAGAACTAAAAAGAAATAAAAGTAGACATTCTTTTCAAAATCAACATTAGTGGCGATGGCTCCACCAAATACTGGTGGGTGGAATTAGGTGTCGGTGTTACGTGTTTGAGTGAATCGGGGAAAGATGAATATTTCTGATCAACTGAAAAAAAAAATAATGGAAACCATTTGGAGCACATATATTAAAGGTTTGGAACCTCCGCTATACCTTTTTATAAGATTTGAGACCAATGATGCAAATATGCTTTTTTTATTAATTAAATTTTAAAAAAAAATCATTTTTACCTTTTCTAAAAATTGTCAAACGTTGACTTTTTGTTAACTAAGGGCCTGTTTGATAGGCTATATTT